ATTCACCATGAACTCTGTAACGGTTGCAAGTGTTCCTCCGGGCCCATCTTGCACAACACCATAAAATGCCACTACATTTGGGTGGTGAAGCTTCGAAAGAATATCAGCCTCACGCCAAAACTCATCAGTCTGTATAGATTTCGAGTAATGTATGAAGAAGGCTAATGCGAAGAAAAACTAAACATCTATATAGGCTCCTAGAGCAGTAAGAGCTCTTTAGGTCAAAAGAATGATGAATGAACTATGAAATAGCATTAATTAGATGCACTTATTGCATAATAATAAAACCACCATAGAAAACTCACCAGCCTCTCCTGCTCTGATGAGCGACCAGTGAAGCAGCTTTTCTTTATTCTCTTGATGGCAACATCAGTTCCTCTCCATTTTCCATGATACACAGTGCCAAATGTTCCAGAACCCAATTCCTTCAACTCTTCAAGGTCTTCATCTTTTATTATCTGTAATGAAAAATACTAGACAAGGTTATCTAAGAAAATGACATAAAAAGATTAAAAGTTCTTGAGATTTATATCATCAATCATAAATGATCACCACTAAAATCACAGGTTCGGAATTGTGGATGATATATACCACTCCCTCTATCCCACAAATACCTTGTATTTTTCCTTTGTGGGATGTCCGAAAATCAATTCCCCAGTTTTCTCATTTTCTTTTAAGGAAAGGAATATAGTGCTCAAAAGATTTCTCTCTTCTATACATATTCTAATCACACAATTTTCATTTTTACTTTTGCTCAACTCCGTAAAGTCAAAGCGAGAAGATCTTTGCGGGACACAGGGAGTATGGGAATAGAATCCAGATTAAGTTCCAAAACAAAGGGTAAATTTTTACCAACACCTTACAATTCAACTACTTATACACTAACAACAAGCACTTCAAAATGGTAATAAAATATAACCCATGAAAATGATAGAAACAAGAAGAATGTTCAATTACATTGGGGCACTAAAAATACCTTTACCTAGTGAAAAATACAGATTCAATTAAATCAAAAATAACAATAACAACAAAGCAGGCCATTATCACATTCCCAGCAAAGCAAAACCATTTATACATGTATACTCCCTCCGTCCCACAAAGAACTTCACAGTTTATTTAGATGTCCCAGAAAAACATCACACTTCTACTTTTTCCTTTAAAGGTAAGGAGTATGAGGCCTACAAAACTTTTCTATCTTTTGAACAAATTCCACCCACATAATTATCACATTTCAACACTTTTCTTGATCTTTGTAAAGTCAAAGAAGCTCTTTGTGGGGTGGGGGAGTAATAACCAACAGAAGACTAATATACCTGTAAAGAGTTGATATTAAAATGTCGCAGAGGGAAGTCAACTGGGGGAACAGCAGCATTTTGAGCATCCAGGATCCCATCCTTAACATGTTAACAACAAAATATTACAGATCATAGATGTGGGTAGCGGTAGGGGTAGGGGTGTTGTTAGTGCATCAAATAATTAAGAAAATTAAAATATATACAGCAGAAAACATTAGGTGATGAAGCATATAATAAGCTACCTGATATACTGTCTCAGATGTTTTCGGGTTAATGATACCCGCATTTTGCATAGATTGGATTCCTGTGACTTGGGTAGAACTATAGTCTGAAGGCAAATTTGTACTCGCAGGTTCAGTGGTCAGAGTTGACTGCTGTTGAATGTCAGTTTCAATACTAACGCGGGGATCCATAACCACTCCACTGATATTCGACGTTGGATAACTATAATCTATTGACACTTCATCAACATGTGCACTTGTAGTCAGGAAACTAGGATGATCCTGGTCAATAAGAGAGATATCCCTCCTAACAAAATCATCCTGAGCTAATCTCTGGAAAACAGACCAGTGCATAGGCTCATGGTTCTCCACATTTAAGCTTGAACTACCTCCATCACCATGAAAATGATTAATCTCTGCTGATCCATCCATTGCTTTTGAAAATATTTCAGATAGAAAATCACGTGGGAAGCGATCATTGATATCGATAACAATGTCCACATGCTCACTAACAGAAGGCTTTGCCCGGGAATCCGTCCCAGCTGGTTGCTCTCTCACAGCCAGAGACTTCATTTCTCTTGCTCTATTTTTGTCACTAATATTCACAGTTGGCTTAGATGCAGAATCACTGTGGACATGAATACTCATTGGAGGGAGACCCGGTTGGGGAGTGTCCCTATCAAGGAAACTGGCAGGCTTAAGCTCAATGTTCTTAGCCTTTGTCATACCCCCATCCTTAGGTATGTGTGAACCAGCTATTTTGGAATCATCAGCAACTTTCTGAGATATCTGGAAGTCAACTGCATTATCTTCAACTGCAGCAGACAGAGGTGAGTGATTTGCCTCTTTAGAATCATTCCCAGTGTGAAACCTATCAATTGACTCTGGCATCTGCTGCAAATCTTCATATTGTGAGTGGTGAGTCATTAGAAATGGTGAAGCAGAGGAATCATCAGATTTAGACAAACGATTTAAGCCGGCTTGCTCGCGGGGTAATCTTTCTGAACAAAAGTGCCTTGGAGGAACTGTAGGAGGTTCAGAGTTGAAGCCAAAGGGATATACCTCAGAGTTGCCATGACAAGAGTTGGAGATTGTGCTAGATGCAGCGAACGGGCTATCTTCATTAACTGTGTCAATTCTTTCTTCCATCTCACATTTAGAAGATCCTAAACTCTGCCTCTGAACCTGATTTCTTACAGTACCTTTGGATAGCACAGCTAAATCTCCTGTAATTGCAGAAGCACCTGAGGTTGGTTCTTCAACTCCGAAACTGTTATTGGGAGTAGAGTTGCCATCTGGGTTTGAAGGGACAATCCTTTCATATTCCAAAGGCCTCCCTTTCTCATGCTCGTCCATTTTCTGCATTGTATGTTCTCCCTTCATCTTTTCCTCAGGCTCCTTTTCCAGAGAACCAGTTTTACCAGGTTCAATCCCTTTTTGAGTGGTGGCATCTCGGTTTATTTTCATTTCATCAGCTGATACTTCAGTATCAAGCACATGGGAGTTTCCAAATGAGTAAGCAGCAGTTAAATCTCCCTCTCCCAGAGCCTGGCTAGAAGTTATCACAAAGTTCTCCTCGCCAAGCTGTGCAGAATTGGGTGTACGACCACAGGAATAATTTAGAGGAGCCTGCGCCATGACGGTGCTGCTTCTATCTACACTCGAGAAGTTTCCCATGAGTTCTGTAGAAGATAACCGTTGCATATTGATTCCATTGTAAGGTGAGGTTTGATTATGGTATCCCTGTGGATTGGAATCTAATTCGTGTATTGACCTTGACCCCACTGTGTGAGATGATTTATTTGAAGGAAACCCACCCACTGGATGCATAGTATTAACAGGAGCTAAGCTAGCAACAACTCTGCCATGCTCTCCATCAATACTTAACCCAAGTAACTCGTCTAAAGTGTTCCCTGACGTACTTGCCTGACCAACTGAGTTCTGCCTTGAGCCAATATCCATGCAATTTACAGCAACAAAATACTGTAATTCTGCATCACCTTCCACATTCTCAAGACCGAGATGACAATCATCCAAATCACCACGTGAAAAGAGAAAAATACGCAGTTTTTGGGATCCGCCATCTTCAAGCAAATTACATTCTTCCATCATATTTTGTAAGTCCTCATCAGAAGAAACTGTTACCAGAGCATCAAGTTCCTCACCTGGAAGCTGATACTTTATTATGTAAGTTGTGCTGTATACTGTCAATATTTTTTCCTTGAATTCATCCCAAGAGATATCTCTCGTAATACAAATAATGCGTGTATCTCCTCCAGCATATCGTAGCTTTCCATCACCTGGGCGAGGCAAAATTTTGCCACCAAAACTGCAAAGAAACTTATATTTTTTGGACCATCTGTTTATCGGGGTATGCCTGTGAACCCCACACCCCTCATTATTCCTTGAGGAGACCCTAGACACAGATTGTACAGTTTGGGATAAGGAATGCTGTTCATTTAGAGTACTCTTTTTGTCATAGTCTTGAATCCGACTTTTGTCGATAGTGACAGCTGCTGAAATATCTGATCCACTCTCAGAACCTGTATGAGATACTTCAAGCATGTCCTTTAGGTCCATATAAGATGTGGCACTACAAGGATCACCTGATGAATGTGGAACATAGGGCTGTTTTGGATAAGCTCTGTCCCGCATAAATTCAAGAGCAAATTCCTCGCCGGTTTGAATAGAAAAGTTTAGAACAGGTCTTGGTCCAGCCGGCATATTAAGATCTGGAGGTCGCCCATTTATATTAATAGAGCATGAGGGATCCTGAAAATTTTTTTGATTTGCAGATCCAATTCCCTCAGTTCTTGTCTCCATTGATTTATAGCAAACTTGTTCATAATTGTTCTGTTGACCCATCACACCTTTTACTATATTTCTTTCCATCTATACACAGAAACCTGACATTAGTGTGTGTGTGTGTGTGTTTCAAGTATTTTTGTTAAAAATTACTCCGTATTTCTTTCTTCTTACCTGATAAGGAACTTGAGCTGTGTAACTTGAGTGACTAATGGCATGAAGAACAACCCCTGTAGAGTGAAAAGAAACTTAAACTATAGACGAGTATACAGAGTATGATTGAAGGAGTTTAAATAATCAAATTCAACCTTCTTCATCATGCATAGAAAAAGGATAACTTTTTATTGATATATTTAATGCACAGAACGATAAATTGATAAATCATATAATATAAGTGGAAGGGAAAAAGGAATTGAAGAAGCAAACTGTTAATTCAAAGCAATCTCTCCTTAAGTGAAACTTTAAAAATCCAATAAAAACCTATTCACTTTTTATACAAGAAAAGTGAGGAAGCAAACTGTTAATTCAAACCTATTCACTTTTTATACAAGATGCCCCTTAATCAAATGGGAGGAAGTATGCCTCCCCAAACAAGAGGGGGGGCTAGGGCTGAAAAACCTGTTATTCTGGAATCAGGCTTGTTCAATGAGACTCTTATGGGATATTGCTAATAAGAAAGACACATTGTGTGTAAGATGGGCGCACAGCAAATACCTCAAGCAGGAAACAATTTGGGGGTATAATGTGAAGAATGATGATTGTTACTACTGGAAAAAAATGATCCATAATAGAAGACTATTTGAGGGGATGAACACAGCTAATGGCTACACCGTGAAGGATGGTTATAACTGGCTTAAGGGAGTTAGGGAGAAAGTGGACTGGGCAAAGGTGGTCTGGAGCAGATGGTCATTACCCAAGCATCAGTTTATTGCCTGGCTAATATGGAAAGGGAGGATCCAAACAAAGGATAGACTTAGCAATTTCCTCTCTATTGATACCACTTGTGTGCTGTGTGAGAAAGAGGTGGAATCTGCTGATCACATTTTCTGCTCTTGCACATATGCTAAAGCAATTCATGGGAATATGGCAAGTACGCTTAAAGTTGATGTCCATGCTGACTCTATCAAGGACTTGGGGAAGAAGATGGAGTTGGGAAGAGGTAGAAAACAGAAATGGCGCATGGCTGCATACATTACAGCATGTTGCTACTTCATATGGAAGGCTAGGAATGAAAAGATTTATAATGGCAAAAGGATCAAAGAGGAATTTACATTTCGTTGTATTAGTGAAATTGTTGGTATGTCACTTGGTGGAAGAGGGTATGGGAAAGGGACTTAGATGGGAAATCTGTTTTAATAGAATGTATTAGTTCGTGAGGGTGTTAGTCTGTAGACTATAATGTTGATTTGGAATGAAGAATTATTTGTGCTTGGTTCAAAAAAAAAAAAAGCTGCAGAGTACACATTAAAAAAATATCAACTTCTTGTCGCACAGAAGTTCTGATCCACACACATAGGCCGTACCAATTTCTAAAGAAGTGAAGTCCATGGGGACAAAAATTCCAAAATTCACATTTCAAGATCTTTCGAGGGAGACACAACACCTCATTGATAAATCCACTAGCCCGCGAACAAATTAACACAAATATACGCATTAGTCCCACATACTATCGGGGCAGCGAAATCAAAGTACACAAGTAGTATACACGAAACCATCAATTTTCTGCAAATTCATTGTAACCTTCAAGCATATCCTCATATTACAATTCCCTCATCTTATCAAACACAAATCACACTTCCAGATAACACTACCCCGCCAGATCGACATACAGAACGATTCATTCAAACAAATCTACACATATAGCTCTTTAAATACGTCCATTTATCCACACAAAGAAATCCCGCGCCGGCGCACACTGCAGAAGCTAAAACTTTCAGATTTCAACTCAGTAAGAAGCTGAGAACGCTAGAAATCCAGTAAATTCGACTTTGATACTACAAAAAAGGCAGATTCAATGCGAAAAAAGAAAGGGAATCAAAGAGGAACATCGTCCAATCTCAAATACTCAGCTGAATTTTAATAATTCAAGCTCCAAAAACAAGAATAATACCTGAAATTGCGATCTGAACTCATCTTCAAAGTAGCTTTCCCTCTACGTCTGTAGGCGAAGTTTTTCAATCGTCTAGCACTCGATCATCGTCTGTGTGGCAGTGTTTGTGCGCGTTTATGCTTTTGATTAGTACTGCTACGAGTATATTATCTTTTGCACAGGTGGGATCTACGGGCTTGGCGGGAATGACGAATTTGACCTTGTTTTTCATTTTAATTACACCGCGATTAGGCATTTATCCGGAGATTCTATAAGGGTAGAAAAGATCTTCCCATAAGTCTACTCTATAGTTGTAGGCGCTTGTCTTATTATTCTGTCTTTAATGGCTTGTTTGGGAAGACAAAAACTTTTCGGTGGCGTTAGGCCATTTACAATGGTGCCCCCTCAATCATCTTCGCTTACCTGGTAAATTTCAAGAACAATTTCTGAATTTTAGGTAAAATTTTGATTTGATATCTGAACTTCAAATTCATTTATAAAAATATTTGAACTTTTACTATCTTTTCACTAAAATTCTATTTGCCAATTTCTAGGTGACCGACAGGCCAGCAGGTTACTTTGGATCAAATTGTCAAATCTCAATTTTTATTTTTTTTACATTGACCACCAATTCTTCTTTCTCATCTCCTTACATTGAAATCTTTATTTATTATTTATTTCTTTTTTGCCTTTTCTCATTTCTTACTCCGTACTTTTTTTCTTTCTTTTTCTTTCTTTTTTCCTTTATTTATCTGTTTTGTTATTTTTCTTCTATCTTTTATCTTTTCGATTAATAACTGTGTTATTTTATATTCAATTTAATGAAATGAAAAAATCAAACCATACGTTTATTTTATTTTTTTGTTTGTTAACTTTTTGTCTATTTTTAATCTTTATTGTAAACAATTAAATAAAACAAGTGAATAAAATAAGCCATAAATATATACATAAAAATCCAAAAAAAAGACAAGAGAAAATTAAAAAAAACAAACAAAATTTTTCTAGAAAATCTTACTTCATTTTTATGAAAAAATAATTATATAAAAATAACCAACGAAAAATTGAAAGCAAACAAAAATATATAAGAAAAAATAATATAAAAAATTAAAAAAAGATGGTTATTTACATAAAATATATAAAAAATACTTACAAAAAAGTTCACAAAATAACACATAGCCAAACAAATTGATAATATTAAAATATCAAGAAAAAAAGATAAAAAACAGCAAATAGAATTAATAATAAATAAAGATTTCAAAAAGGAACTAAAGAAAAAAAATAGCAAGAGGAAACAAATAGAGAAAATTAAAACAGTGAAAACATTTTTAAAAAGGAAAAAATAAAAAAAGAGGACAGAATAAAATAAATTAAAGTAAAAAAAATAATGATAAAAAATGAAAATGAATAAAAAATAAATAAAGAACTAAAAAAGGATCAAAAGAAAAAACGAAGCAAAAGAAAAGACAGAAAAAATAGCAAATAAGAAAAAAGAAAAGAAAGAAAAAGACAAAAACTAAAAGAAAAGTGGGGAAAAAGAAAGGAGAGAAAGAGAGGGGAGTGAGTTGAAAAAGAAAAGAATATAAATTATGGGAGTGTAAGGTGAAAAAAACAAGAAATGGGAGTCAATGTGAAAAAATAAAAATTTGGATTTTACAATTTGACCCAAAGTGACCTGCTCGTCACCTGTTAATGAGCAAATGGACTTTTAGTGAAAAGATGGTAAAAGTTCAGCTACTTTTGTGAAAAGTTTTGAAGTTCATGTACCAAATCGAAATTTTCATGAAAATGTAAATACTATTCTTGAAATTTACCCTTAAAATGTTATCGTACTCTCCTCCTATCTCTCGATTTATTTTATGTTATTCATCGTTTTTACTTGAAAAGTTCTATAAATTTAATAAAACACGCTGAAGACACCCTGGATAGGGGGTATCCGGTCTTTGTACAATATTAGTCGGGACGGTCGAGTCTGTTGTACCAGCCCGGCCGTTAGTCCTATGTTAATTATTCATGTAAGCGCGGCCGAGTTTGTTGGCTGGCCCATTAGTCTGAAACCCTAACCCTAACTCACATTACATCCACACAACACTATTCATCTTCTTCATTCAATCTTCATACATTTTCTCCTTTTCCTCTACCCATGGATTCACTAATCCAACAAGACCATTGGTCATTATTTATTAGTCATTATTCAATTAAATGTCCAGCATCACTTGGACATTATTCTTATCAATAGTCATTATTAAGTCCTACTTAGAGAATAAAAAAGTTCAAGTCCTACATTGGGTCGGAAAATGACTTATGTTTTAGTCCTATTCAGTGCAAATTTCACTTTAACCAATGGTATCATAATAAATATCAAAAGAGTTTGATGGTGCGGAGTGCACACTTCATTGAGTTTGTTATAACAAAGGTATTGTATTAACGGGGTTCCAAAGGGCAGCGCCCCCGAGCAAGGTTCAATGGACGGCAGCCCCTGCGACGTCCAAGGGGCAGAGCCATTGGCTGGTGTCGAGCTCGAAAATTTTTATTTTGGACAAAGTACTATATTTGTTAAAAGTTCATTTGAATTTTTAATTTTTAAATTTTCTTAAAGAAACATTTTCGAAAAAGGATAAGCATGTTTTTCTCAAAATCGCGCAAAAGGATGCGCATTTTGGACGAAAGACACGACCGCAGGCTTCTTCCCTTCCGCGGCTCTGTGTGTGTGTGTGTATTGGTTTTGGTGAGAATACGATCTAAAGAAATAAAAATGAATCTGGTGCTTTAGATTGTGAGATCTAAGGGTCAGGATTGCATCAAAATTTGGTGTACCAAAATGGTTTGAAAATGCATCATGTCGAAATACACCAAAATCCTTGAAAATGCACTATCCCAAAATATGAGCGCATGATGCAATCTGAGCCGCACGATGCATCAGATCCAAAAGGCTAGATTGTATTCTTATTTTTTTTACCAAGGTGCATTCTCACGTGAACTGACCCAATATATAGGTTCTGGCAAGAATAAGATGTTAGGAGAGAAATGAGCAAGTGGTGTTTTAGAATGTGAGATCCAAAGATGATATACCACTTATATATACACACTTACACACCATAGTCCCATACCATATTCCCTTTTCTCTCTGCATTAAAGATACTAATAATTGAATGAACAATACATACTTAAAAGTAATTAATTATAAGAAAAAGTTCGAGGTTAATTAGTTGAGAGTGTATGTACATATATATATATATATATAAATCAAGGGCGGTATGAAACCTGCATGGATGGAAGGGCTAATGGCGGAGACGTTCTTCGGCGGCTGTGGCGTCCACCGCCACCGGAGGAAGAACGAGAAGAACATCTTCTGCTTACTTTGTTGCCAAAGCTTCTGCCCTCACTGTCTCCCTTCTCATCAATCACATCCCTTTCTTCAGGTTCAATTATTATTACTTTGTTTCCTTTTCTTGCTTCAGTGTGGATAGCCAATTATGTAATCTCTCTCCCAAATTAGATTACACAATTCGAATAATGTACTTCCTCCGTCACTTTAAACATGGTATGTTTTGATTTTGAATAGATTTAAAGGAAGTGTATTTTGGTATTGAATTTCCAAAAATGTCTTTGATGTGATAGGTAAAAATAGGATTTGATAGGTGGATTATTAGTAAAAAGATATGATGTGATAGGTAGAGTATGAAAAAGTAAGGGGTAAAAGCGACTTTTTAATAGAAATAAGAAGTGTTTTAATTTTTGGTATGGATGAAAAAAGAAAGGAGAAAGGTTATCAGGGACGGAAGGAGTATTAAACAAACTCATATGCCTTTTAAATTTAATTTAGTTATAAATTGGTATAAAAAGAAAAAAATAACTTACATATTTAAAAACTAAATTCTAAAGTTTTAGAAAATAAGTGACAAAGCTATTTTATTTTTAAAAAAGGTCAATAAAAACATGGAAACAAATAAAAAAGCTATCCATTAAAACAGTGACTTTGTAATCTATTTTGGCATTGGAGGAATTAAGTATGATTGTCTTCATTTTTTCACTTGTTCCTTCAACATGATGCTTTTAGCTAGCTTTTTTATCCATCTATAAGTACACTGTTTTCCAATATTTTTGCTCCAATTTGAATTTTCCATACAACAATAACAACCCACTCCAAAAAAATGTTTCTCTTAGACATTAGGACCATTGTTGTGTTTACTGTCCAAAATTTCATAGAAAAAAATACAGAATATATATATATATACTCCCTCCGTCCCAGAAAACCTTTCTCCTTTCTTTTTTCATTCGTCCCAAAAAACACTTTTCATTTCTATTAAAAAGTCACTTTTACCCTTTACTTTTTCATACCCTACCTATTACATCATACCTTTTTACTAATAATCTATCCATCAAATCATACTTTTACCCATTACATCAAAGGACATTTTTGGAAATTCAATACCAAAATACACTCTCCTTAAATCCCTCTCCAAAACCAAAACTCCCATGTTTTCCGGGACAGAGGGAGTATATATATATATATATATATATATATATATATATATATATATATATATATATATATATATATATATATATATATATATATATATATATATATATATATATATATGCATGTCACACCTTATTATCGTCTTTAATCTAGAATTCATCCATTCTACTTCTTTGATTTTATATTTTTCTATTCGTTTTGACTTACCGCATTTTAAAATACAAGATGAAAAATATTTTACTTCCCTTTTTTGCCTTTGGAATGTAGTGTAATAGATTAAAAAAACATAAAAATGTGAATATTACAAAAGTAAGGGTGGTGTAGTCTTTTAATTGTAAAAAAATGAAGTCTTTTCGTTTAAGAAAAATGGAAGAGAAGGTCCAAAAAGAGAACGAGAAGAAATGTATACGACCAAGCTAGAGAGTACTCCCTCCTCCGTTCTAATTTATTCATCCCTGAAAGAATATGCAAAATCTATCTCTTTTAAAATGATTTTATTTACAAATTAGCATGAAAATAAAAAAATATTACTTCCGTTTTAGAATATTTGTCTAGCTTTAACTTTTTGCAGTCAAAATTGATAAATCTTGATCATTACTTCAATAATATTTATATTTGATATTGATATATACGTAGTACAATAATAATTATATAAGATTTATCTTGTAAAAAAAATTTCAAAATAATATTTTATCTAAC